TAGTGAATAATTTTTGTATTATAAGGTATGATACCATCAAAGATATAAAATAAGTTGTTTAGAAAAAAAAGTTGAACTACAACAAAACTCAAAGAAAATGAAAATCACTCAAATTCTTGGTAGTATTTTGACTTACTTTCTTCCAGTTATTCTTTTCACTTAAAAATGCTTACTTATATGTGTGATTATATATTGTGTCAATTATTATACTGTATATTTAGTATCTTAATTACATTTTGTAACTAAATATTGATGTTGCACTTTGATCCATGTTACATTAGCATTCTATAAAACACATAATGTAATGCCTTATGCAGTCACTTGTGGCCTGTAGCTAACTTTGCTCCAGAGTGTTCACCAGCAGATGGGGGGACACTTTGAGGAATCCCAGGAAGAATTTGATGTGGGTTTTCCATTCAGATTTGGCATTGCCACCTAATCCTTCTGCACAGATCCAGGTCACTTGTTTTACATGTGAGTATACTGGGCTTTTGTTTTACAAAAATTAAAATGAGATCAGAGAGAAAAAACAATGGACACTGTCTAGTAAATATTTTATAATGTTATATTATGAAATAGTTATTCTATCACAAAAATATTATTTCTATGAATAAGATCAAGTCACTATTTTCTTAATTGTAAAAGAAAATACATGACGAAACTGAAATATTTTCTTTAGGATTATTAGTCCAAAATAAAGAGGCAAAGGTGAAATCTGAAGGGGGAAAAAAGTAAACTTGTGAGCAGCATAAAATGTTCTTATGAATTGTCTTGATGATATGTAAAAATATAATTAATTTTTACATGTATATTTTATCTTAATTTATTACTATATTAATTTATTGAATCTTACAATTTTTTTGTGGATTCTGCTGTTAGGACTAAACTATTTATACTTCTTTTTCAATCAATATTCCTTTAATTCATTTTTCTTGCCTTTCTGATCTGCTCAGCTTACTCCATTAGAAAGAGCTGCTGCAAGTAATCTTTTTAAAGTGTTGAAAACAGAAATGTCACTTTGAGTAGTAATGTGCCAGTGGATCAAACCATGGTATTTTCAATCAGCACGGAAGCATGGGAAAGCTGCACAGGGACTAAAGATGACCAAAGGAGAATCAAAGCCTTTGAATTATGGCATTCATGGAGAATATTCCTTATACCATGGACTGCTGGAAGAAAGCCTAAAACTGTCTTGGAAGAAAAACAGCCAAAACACTCCTTAGAATCAAGGATGGTGAGATTTTAAGTCACATATTTTGCAACTGTTATTAGCAGAAACCAGGCCCTGGAGATGGACATCATGCTTAGTAAAGTGGGGGGTCAGTGACAACAAGGAATACCTTCAAGGAGATGAACTGCCACCATGGCTACAACAGTGGGCTCTCTCTCTCTCTCTCTCTCTCTCTTTCTCTCACAGACAGGAAAATTGGCGTACTGGTAGATGACCCCTCGTTTGACCATACAGAAGAAGTACATGATATGGGAAATAGCAGACACCAACATGAACACAACAGTGTCCATGGACCAGAATCATCCCCACAAAAATATTATTAATATTATACTACAAAAATATAATAATACAAAAATATTATATCTATGAATAAGATCAAGTCACTATTTTCTTAATTGTAAAGGAAAATAAATGAAGAAACTGAAACACAACCCTAGACACCTAAACTGCACAGTTCTAGGCAAAGATGATACTTTACTCTTATTTGAGCAGGACTCATTTTGAATCTCATTTTTATGAAGATAGGCTGTCCTCTGACTAACTCAGGTTCTCACCCCAACTCATCACATAAATTAATAAATGGTGTTGTCCTTTTCAGAGACTTTCTTTCTGTAAGTGGGAAATGCATGTGTATTTGGGAAACGCATCTGGCATTGCCCAAATCATGGTGTTTTCTATCAGCTGCTTGAAACACTCTATACCAGCAACATACATCTCTCAATGACTACTGTTATATGTAGAAGGATAATGCAATGGATGTAAATTCTTCAACTATGATAAATGTACTAAAATGCTATTTTGCAGAAAAAGAAAAACATAGTGTTGATAAGAATGTGGGGTCTAGAGTCAATCTGTTGGAGCTCAAAGGTGAGCTTGTCCTTTAAGTAGCTGGGTAAATATAGAGAAGTTATTTACTATCTCTGTGCCCAGGTCCCATCATTTCTAACATTCAATTATTCATAAATGTTTATTGAGGCACTGTTCTATGTTCTGGTTGTACAGCATTGAACCAAACAGGCAAACATCTTTTCTTCATAGAATTTAAATGAAAGTGAGGAAAACAGACAAGAAAAAATAAGTAGAATATATAGGATGTTTCATGGAGTTAACTGCTATGGAAACAAGAGAAACATGGAAGAGTGATGGGTAGCTTTGTTTTAAAA